CGTAACCGCTCAAAAAAGTAATTTGAATTCATATTTTTAGTAGCAAATGAAATGTTACTTCTGTTTGTGGATTTTAGTTAAAAAGAGGTAGTTTTATATCATAATTCAGGTTATGATTAATAACGTGATAATGATTTATTGGATCAACTCTGCAGTTTGAATCAATTCACCAATAATAATAATAATAATAATAATAATAATAATAATTGTGTAATATTGATATTAACCATGATACTTTCTGAGATGTTTATTGTACTCTGAAAATCTCAAACCATTGCAAACCTAATAAAGAAGTCCAGCTTCATGCGAAGGCCATTGATGTTCAAGGTTGCTGTAATTTCTGTGCTGTTAGATATTCCAAACTCAACAAAATATAAGATGGTTTAACCTAAAAAGGAAGTTTGAACATAACTGATGAACGATGGTCTTAATCTGATATTCAGTTTAATCATCAAAACAACCCCTGTTGTTCTGTGCTGTCTACTGTAGCATTGGTGCACATCTTTCCCACTGTTTTACTCAATTTAACCAATTCAGCTTTTAATTCATGTATCCATATCTACACAATATCATAATTAAAAGATCACTGTTCTCAACAAACATGCCTTATTAAATGAGCATTTAAACTGTGCTGTTAGAAGGGTGCACTCACATTTTAAAGGTGATCAATCAAAAGACGGTGCATGAGATGAGAACTTGGAAAGCTCCAGTGTGAACAGATGCAGGTAGAGTGTAATTACAGCTCACAGCAGGAGAAAGCACAAACTGAGCTGAGCTACCTTCACCCCAAAAATGGCAGCAAACATCCGGACTGGCAAGGATTCCAATAAATGTCATGAATATCTCAACCTTATCTTGAATGTCATGGTGTCACATCTCAAAATGTCTCACCATTTCACTTCTTCCACCTATCAGCTGCTGCAAAACAAACTTCCCTCAGGTAGAGACGGAGCTGGTTAGCAGCGCCAGAAACCAATCAGCACTGCTGACACTGAATCTTCAGTTAAGATGACACCGTGTGTTGTCTACATGTACTGTTATTTATTGTGCTGTATTGATCAGCTTCAAGAGGCTGACCAAACCAACAATGTGTTAGTCCGCCTCTCAGTACTTTCTGACTGCTTTAACCTATGAGGTACACAGCCGGAAGTCCAATGGTTCCTAATGAAGGCATAAATCTTTAAAAACGTAAGTATCCCTGCAGCATTATTTCTGGACTCAGCCACTGTCAAAGTCAGGTGATGTAGTATAAAGACAGAGAGGTGTGTGGAGGTGGTGGTATGGATGGATGGCTCAGACAAACACAGGACTCGAACCCAGGAGAGCGTTGATCGTGTCCAGTGTGAAACCAAACAGAAGTACATGAATAAAATGTAACGTACCTAACATAACACATGTACATCACTTCAAATTCTGTTTAAGTTATATCAGGTATGTAATGTTATTTTTCCTAATTCTAACGTAGTAGTTTTGTGCCTAAATCATATTAATTATTGCTAATTTAATGATGATACCAGAGGGTTACCTACAGCGTCCCATGTTGAAGCTGACCAAGCAGCAGTATTTGATGAGTTGGGAGTGAGAACATGTTGGTGTGTTCGTGGTAATGAAGGACGATGTCACTCAGTGAAACAGTGTGGCTCACTGATGAGTTTTTAATAGTTTATGGGCACAAATGGAGCTCTCTGGCACAGAGGAATAAGATATATCAGGCTTTGATACACACATTTGTTAGCAGATACATTCACTGTTGGTTTTGGTCTTTTCATGGGATTTGTTAACAATAATATCACCAGCTTTAAACATGGGACAGTCCTTCTAAATGTCAAAACAGCCCGGTTAAAGTTGACAGATTATTATTATTTTTGGTATGAATTAATCTTTTGATTATTCTGAAGAATCAAATACAACTACAAATTTGTGCATTTGGGATGCATAATTATTATGATCATGGGACCGAATATCGTTTGATAATGGGAAATTAAATCGGTTGAATTTATTTTAAATTAATTTAAATGAATACATTATTTAAACATTTATAGAGGCAGAACTGTTGTTTGTTGTTGACGTCAGTTAGATTTTATACTTTTTATACTTTCTTAACCTCAGGTGTGTAAAAACTACAGCTTATGTCCTTCTTTTTAAAATACATGTGAATTTTTTATTTTTTTTTTCAGAGGCCTTGAGTGTTTTCCTCTAAGAATCAGCAGTTCTGTGCTGATTTCCAGTATCACACTGGTGGAGTGAATGTAACACCAGTCGGTTGGGGGCCACACCTCTGCCGAACCGGAAAAAAACGACTATCCTTGTTGCTGGGCTTCCAGTCTCTCCACGCTCCACCCTGCCTGATCCCGCTGAGCTCAGCACTCTGCCTCACCCACCCTGAGGCATTATGGGAGTTCACAGAGCACACTACAGGGGGGTGTGGGGAGGGTTCTGAAGAGAAGCAGGCTTCATTGATGGGTTTGTCTCCAGGAGAATTTAATAATACAAAGGATACAAACTGATCTCGTTCACTTGGCTTTATTATGAAACAAGGTTTCCTCGCAGAACCTAAAATATGATTACAGATGACCTGAGCTGCTCTGCTCCGTCCTCCTGCTCAGCCTGCACGTCGACAGGCTTCAGTCTGCGTGAAAGACGGCTCAAGGACATCTCAAAGACAGCTTCCAGTTGGTAATAATAAACCTCTGGTTGGTTAACTGCTGATCTCGTTACAGCATAAATATAGCTGCAACTAACAATTCTTCCTATTTTTGTCAATGGATTTTTCTATTGATAAAATGTTATACTGTCTGTCCAACGATCAAAGCTAAAAAGAGGATTAGCCAAGCAAAAATGTCCAGCTTTCTTTGATTCAGCTCCTCAAATGTGAAGATTCGCTGCTTTTTTTGTCTTATGTTAAAGTAAATAGAGCACGACCGATATATTGGTCAGCCGATATTGGAAATATATCGCAGAAATATCAGTATCGTATCAGTGTATACGTCATCCAGTATATAATGCATAAATGTAGTTTTTACAGTGCTGATGTTTAGCACATTTCTAAAATTGTTTGACAATGTATATGTTAAATTATATGATATTATATTATTATAATATTTACATGAATATTTTTTCACTGAGTTATTAAGAAAGCAGCAGGCTGAGTACCTCTGCATCGTCATATCGTTCTTCTGAAATCGGTTTTGGTCTCGAAAATCTCGTACTGGTCAGGCTCTAATAGTAAACTAATAGTAAATTTGTCTTTGGGTTTTCGACTTTTGGTTTTCAACTTGGGCCCAATTGTTATGATACAATAATTAACTGAGATAATAATTATCAGATTATTTAATAATGAATATAACTGGTAGTCGTCAGCAGTCTACATCTCAAAGATTCAGTTTACGATCAAATATTCACATTAGAGAAGCTGTTAAAAACGATATTAAAGATTAATCGATTGTCAAAAGGTTTGCCAAATAACTTCTTTGTCAGGCAGCTGGTTGATTAATTGATTAATTGTTTCAGCTCTACTGGAGATGTCACCATGGGTTTCTGGAACATTTTATTGAGCATTTTTTACTATTTTATGGACCAAAAGATCAATCTGGAAAAGAATGAATCGATAAAAAAAAGCTGCCATTCTGCAACCAAAGTCAAAAACCCCAAAATGATATACAGATAAACAGATAAATTACTTAAACGATAAATCTACAATCAAATGTCTGCATAGATTATTTTAATGTACAACAACATATGTGTCGACCAGCAACATTTTAATTATGTCAATAAAAACAGAACAGAAATAATCTTCTCTGCCTTACATGTTTCCGGATTAAAGCAGCTGTCAGTTGCCTGTGTGTATCTCTCTATTTTTAGACATTTTTGTCTAGTCGGTTGCATAAGTTTGAGGTTATTCGGAGAGTGAAGCCTAATCCACATCCCTACACAGTTTCTACACGATCAAATGAGCTGCTGCGGCCTCCCCACACCAGCGACTCGGCTTCACACTCAGCGAGTCTCATCTGTTGCCTTCAGGTCAGAAGATGTTTTTTTTCTTCCCACCTCTAAAATCAGGTCACCTAAATTTACTCAGCTGAATTGAGAACAGCTGATAAATGAGCATAAACTGTGGGTTAATACGTGAGCATGAGTCAGAGAGGCTGTTTACACTGTGCTGTAAACTGCATTATCATCCTATATGACAATCAGAGAAATAAACAATGGCTAAAAGGGTCATAACCTCAGTACTATTGTTGGTTTTATCAACCTGAGGAGGTTTCTTTTTTTTGCCTGTTTTCAGGCCAAACAAATAACAATTTCTTATTTCTCCATGAGAATTACATCCCTGATATTGAGAAAAATGCTTTAAAACATAATTGAAACCTTCATGTAGGGAGATAACATTTACAGAAAATACATTTTTACATTATAATCTCAAAAAAGGTCATATAGCTGTGTCTTTCTGAGGTTGTGCTCATGCCCTCTGTAGGCCTGTTTCTAACATCTTGCTGTTGCCCTTTAGCCAAACAGTCCATTCTGTGACTGAAATGCACCATATGCACGAATATATGCTCCTACTGGAAAAATCATAGTAGTAAATCAGATCGGATGGGCTCCTCGTTTTGCAGTAAGAGTATATGTAAACAACTCTGCAGTGAAATGGATTATCATGAGCCATAATCTTACTCACATTCATTCTCGTCCACAGCCTCTGAAAACCCGGTGAACGCTCACATCTAGTGACTGTCAGTATAAATGTCTTCATGCAGTCAGATTCCTTCAGTGACTGCGACCATCTGCATGCATCCACATTAACGATGCGGTGTTATAAAACAGGCAGCCTGATCAGACCACCGGTCAGCCCGGTCTCCAGATCTCTCTGCGCCTGCTTTTACGCGTCTAGAACATCACGGCGGATATTGGCTGCAGAGAGCCCGAAAAGGAGCAGATATGCACCGGCTTGTCTGCAGCCTGTCAGCGGGTCTGAACCGAGGACAAACGGCGGGGAGTCTTACCGTCCTTCAGCGGTGTGGATGGAGCCGAGGGAGGGGCGCTGATGCTGATGCTGCTGCTGCTGCTGCTGCTGGGCTGCGGATGAGGATGAAGGCAGGATCGGCCTGGTACAGCTCAACACCTACACCCTGCTATCTGCTGCCTCGTGCTGCGTTCACGGACCCGTCGTACACTCCCGTTTCAGAGGGAGCGGAGTGGATCCAGCCGCATTCACGTGAATCAGAACAGACCGAATAAAAGGACGAGTCTGTGAGTGCAGTGAGGATCTTTAATCCAGGGCCGTAGATAAGATTTTACACATAGCCTACTAACTAATAAGTCCCCCAACACACCCCTCACCACATGCTGACCAGAAACAATGGATCTTTTACATTCTAGTTATGAAATGTGGATTAATGTGCATTGCCATCTGTTACCTTATTCCAAATCTATAGGCAGAAATGTAATATTATATTAACAGGTATGTTTTCATTAGTTTATAAAATGCATATTATTATTAAATATTGAGATATTCACTGTTAAAGCTTAATTACAGTGATCATTTGTTTTTCTCCATGTACCCCTGACTGCAGAC